GTGCCTCGGCTCCAACCCTCCCTGAACATCTGACAGATTAAATGTCCCAAACACCACTTTTATGTTACTCTTAAGAATATTCCTTGGCTCCCTACTTCCTCTTCAAGTCTTTTAAACATATTTTTTTTCATTTTGTAAATTTATTTATTTTAGTTAATTAATTGATATATTGTTTAGAGAGAGGGTCAGTATGTTGCCCAGGCTGGTCTCAAACTCTTGGCTTCAAGCGGTCCTCCTGCTTCAACCTCCCAAGTAGCTGGTCTTACAGGCATAAGCCACCATGACTGGCTGTCACATTAAATCTTGACATCTCTGCTTAGGCTTCAAAGATTCTCCACAATAATTGAAATGTTCTTAACACAAAGAAATCAGGGTAATTGGTATTAGCTAATTATCCTAACTTGATCAATTATATGCCTGTATCAAAACATCACATATACCCTATAAAGATATACAACTATTAGGTACCTATAACAATTAAAAAAAATTTAAGTTCACAACAATATGCCTCCAAATAATAATGGTAGAATTATATCATTAATAGTAATAGTAGTAGTGGAAGCAGTTACCACTTGTGACATTCTGTTTTTCTTTATTTTTTCAGGTGGGGGGACAGAGTCTCTCTCTGGGTAGAGTGCAATGGTGTCATCATAGCTCACTGCAGCCTCAACCTCCTGTGCTCAAGTTATCCTCCTGCCTCAGCCTCCTGAGTAGCAGGGACTAAAGAAATGCACCACAAGGCCTGGTTATTTTTTTTCCACTTTTAGTGGAGATGGGGGTCTCACTTTTGCTCAGGCTGACTTCAAGCTATCCATCCTCCCACCTCAGCCTCCCAGAGTGTTAGGATTACAGGCCTGAGCCACTGCCCTGGCCCCTGTGACATTCTTATTGTGAGGTGGAAGCTTTCTAGGCATTTGGTCATGTAAAGCCTCACCACCAGGGATGAGAGTCAGCATGTTCAGTGACAGATCCAGCACAGGCACCAACCAATCAGAGCAGATGCTGGCTGCCATGCCATTCCCGGCCCAGCAGCTGACCGCCAGCTCTGTTTACTATAATCCTGAAAGGTGGGCCTATCATCCCCAGCTCACAAATGTGTAAGCTGAGGCTCAGAAGGGTAAATGATCTCACCCAGGGTCACACAGCTGGTACACAGTTGCACCAGCATTCAAACCCAGGAGCCTCTGACTCTAAAGCCTTCAACTCGTACCATTTGGTCTAACTACGTCGCCATTGTACAACCCTTTGTCCAGCGACACCAGGTCTTTCTCTGCAACTTAAAGAGGCCACACTCTTGTTTATCTTCTTCACTCCTTCCACATCATTTCTTGAAGCTCCCACCTTGAATGATGGCCCATGTAAGATGAGGGGACCTCTGTGGGGCAGGGACTCTGTCATTTCTGCTCACTGGGATAGCCCCAGCACCTGGTACCTTGCCTGGCACAGGGTTGGTGCTTGGAAAATATCTGGGTTCTTTTTTTTCTTTTTGAGACACGTGTCATTCTGTTATCCAGGCTGGTGTATGGTGGCAGGATCACAGCCCAGATTGCTCAAGGGATTCTCCTGGCTCAGCCTCCCAAGTAGGAAGACTACCGCCTCAGGCCACCACAGCTGGCAAATATTAAAATGTTTTGTAACTGGGTGACTCATAGAACCCAGTGGAATCTCTACAGGAAAGGAGCACTGTAGATAACTTTCTACCACACCCATGTTCCCCGGTCCTCAGTGAGAGTGCCTCTAAGCTTAACAAAAACAGGCTTGAATTTGTGTTCAAATGAGCCTTTCTACGAAACCAATAAACCAAAGAAGAGGCACTTAGGAGAAGATTAAGACAGACTCAGGTTCCCTTTCTACCCCATCCCCCCGGCTGTCACTCATGGGTGGATGCCCATAGCCCCGCTGGTTTCTCTCCTCCGAGACCCTCTGCAAGGCAGGCACCACTAATGAGACTCCACCTGGCTTCCTTGCTTCTCTCCCTTCCCCCCCAACCAGCCCCCAGCAAAATGGGTGGAGGGAAGAGAAGAGGGCTTTGGGGACCCCAGCCCTGGTTTCACCATCAAACCTCTGGCAAACTATGTTCCCCTCTGAGCTGTGGTTTTCTTTACCTCAAAAGGAGGAAAACACCCAGGGATCCACAGGCAGCTCAGACACAGCATTAACCCTCGTCCTCCCAGCACACCAGGGCCTCGATGTTATTGATTTATGGCTTTCCATTCAAACTTCTTTCCTCATCCCAGTCCTCTAAAAATGGAAGGCCCTGGGATTCAAGCAACAGTTGAAGTTTTCAGAGTACAGGCAGGGTAGGAGTGTCATAGCCTGGAGGCCCAGAGAAGAGGGGTCAGAGCTGCTGCCTGTGCCTCTGCGCCCTTCCTGTGCACCCTCCTCTGACCCGGGAGGGGGGATGCCAGCACCCGCCCTTACCTGAGAAGATCTTGCCGTCCTTGGTGAGCAGGGCAGCCCCCACGGGAAAGTGGCTGTAGGGGCAGTAGGCTGACTTCTTGGCCTCCTGGGAGGAAAGCAGCAGCTGACTGATGTCCTTGGGCTCCAGAGTGCAGGCAGGATGCTCATGGGCCATGTTGGTACCGGGGTGGGCAGGCTCACAGGCAACAGAGCAGTGGAAACAGGAGTTCTGAGCCGGCCTGGGCTGGGCCCCTATCATACTAGGATGCCGCTCCTCCCCCAGGGTGTGTCCCTCCAGTGAGAAGGCAGGCTCAAAAGTGCATTGGACACTGGCCAGGGCTATGTGTGGGCTCAGTGGGTCTGGTAGGACTGCCAGTGAGTGTCCCGGGGAGGGCTGAGATGTGTGCTCTACCTTCTCCCTTAGGGACCAGTCTCGTGGTTGACACACCGAGGGGTGGGTAAGTAAGGGCCTGGTCAGTATGAATGAGTCAGAGGTGGGGGCCACTCCATGACTGTGAACACACATTCCTCTGGGAAGAAGCCACTGGGTGAGTCAGTATGAGATTTCAGAGGCCCAGCTTCCAAGGCTTGACAGCCCTCAGTTTGGTGAATGACCTTTTCTCTCCTTCACTGAGGGAAGACATACAGGTGAAAGGGCAGGCCTGGGGCAGCCACAGGTGTGAACACGCTGCAGTACAACTGAGGAGCTTCTGTACTGTCGCTGTTTCCTTCCTCCTTCCTTTCAACGCAACCCTGAATTAGAAAGTAGGAAGTATCTCAGGGGAGGAACCTCTGAGATTATCCACTCAGGCCCCCTCATTTTTTTTTTTTTTTTTAATGGGCAGAATGGATGTTGGCTTGTTGGTAAAAGAAACGTGTTTACACCCTGGCTCTCCCACTTTCCACAGGTAGAAGCTTTGGCAGGTCACTTGACCTCCCTCAGCCACAGTTGTTTCATCTCCATGGTGGGGAGAGTCGTAATCCTGTTCTAGGGGTTGAGGTTGTAGAGGAGCTCCAGCTTTGAGCTTGCTTTTGGAGACCACAGGTTAAATCCCAGTTCTGCCATTTATTAGCCTTAGGACACTGGGACAGTCGCACAGTCTCTTGAAGCCTCAGTTTCTTCATCTTTAAAATGGGTGCAGTCACAGCATCTCACAGAATTGCTGAGGCTTGAATGAGGTAGTCCACGTACAGGGGTCATAAGTGGGAGTGGTGGGAGGATCTGATGAGCACCATCTGTGACTCCACACAAACTAGGTTATTATTAAGTGACTTGACCAATATCGCATAGATCTTGGTCAGCTAGAACTTGGGCCAGTGGCAACCAAAGGTTCCCAGACTCCTGGCAAGAAGGAATAAATCAGCAGTTTGAGGGCTTGGTGGGGAAGGGTAGAAAAGGTGAAGGGGAGGGGAAAATCGAGGCAGCATCTCATGTCCTGCACGCTGACATCTCTGCACTTGGCAGCCAAGCATCTCTGTGTCCCAGACCTGGAGCTCTTAGCCACAGACATCAGCGAATACCCAGCCGGGCCACTGTGGCATTGGGCAAAGTGTCCCCACTTCTTCTCTCCCTCCCTCCTCCCCTCCAGATTCCCTCCAAATTCCTTCCCCTTCCACTGCCCCTCAGAGAAGCAGCTTGTTCCCTCCTGCTAGGACTGGGGTCCCCAACCCAGAGGCACTTTCCTCCTGGATCTAGACTTTGGTGTTTAGAGCCGTTTCCTGGATCTGAGCGAAAGCAAAGGATGTCTCAGGACAATGTGTGACCACTCGACATGGGCCAAGTATAATTAGAGCTGGGAAAAGGGTTACGGGACCCTGCTGGCCTGCCAGGCCCATCAGAGTCCTCAGTACATAGTTCCTGTCCCCTGCCCTGTCTCATCCACCCCACCCAGCCCTGCCCAGGCCTGGGACTGGACTTCTGGACTCTTTGATTTGACTGTGCTAGGGAAACTTGGATGACCTCCTGGGCTAATTACGGCTCTTGCCACCTCCAAAGCTCTTGACCCATGCACATGGTCATGGACAGGAGCAGCATCCATCACAAACCCAGCCACAAGGACCTCGGGAGCCTGCAGTGGCTCTAGAATTGCTTATGGAAGAGGCTTGAGTGGTCATCTGGATGGAGGGAGAAAGTGATCTTGGAAACTTTCTCGGAGCCGAGTTGTAGATCAATAATATTAACAGCACTTTCAAAATGTACTTTTATTTAAAAAAAATTAAAAAAAAAATAAAAAGGGCTGCACCTGTGGCTCAAAGGAGTAGGATGCCAGCCCCATATGCTGGAGGTGGCGGGTTCAAACCCAGCCCTGGCAAAACAAACAAACAAACAAAAAACCCCCATACTTTCATTTCTGCTTTGCATAAAGTTAAGAAAAGTTCATTGTCCAGCACAAAGAATAGAAATAGCTAAGGAATCAGCTGGGCATAGTGGCTCATGCCTATAATCTTAGTACTTTGGGAGGCTGAGGGAGGAGGACTGCTTGATCTCAGGGGTTTGAGGTTGCAGTAAACTATAATGATGCCACTGTATTCCAGACTGGACAACAGAGTAAGAAACTGTCTTTAAAAAAAGAACAAAAATGGAAGTATCCAAGGAGTGTTTTGAGCAGTGTCAGAGACTATGACGGTCTCAGAGCCCTCCCTAAAACCTGCCCCCCGGCCTTCCCTCTGAGAGGGACCTTTATGTTAGAGTCCTGGTACCATTCACTCACTTATTCATTCAGTGAACAGTTGCTCATAGAGTAGCTAACATTTATTTAGCTCTATGTGCCAGGCCCTACTGCTAAACTCATTATTTGAATAATTCCATTTAATCATCACTATAAGGTAGATACTATTATGCCTATATCTTACAGATGAGGACACTTGAGCCCGTAGAGATCAGAGTCTCGGAAATGAATCTCAAATCTGAGTCTGTTTGTCATTTGAATCCTGGGTTCTCCCCAGTTGCAGAATTCATAAGGAGGCCAGGTGAAGTGGCTCATGCCTATAAACCCAACACTTTGGGAGACTGAGTGTTGGGAGGTGGGAGGTGGGAGGATTGCTTAAGGCTTGAGGCCAGGAGTTCAAGACCAGCCTGTGTACCATAGTAAGATCCAGTCTCTATAAAAAATAGCTGGGCATGGCGTTGCACACCTATAGTCCCAGCTACTTGAGATGTTGAGGCAGGAAGATCAATGGAGTTCAAGGCTGCAGTGAGCTGTGATTACCCCACTGCACTCCAGCCTGGGCAACATAGTAATACTCTGTGTCTAAAAAAATTAAATAAATAAAAGAAAAAGAAAAGCCAGAACTCACTAGGAGCTGGTATAATAGACTGGCAAGGGGTGCAGGCCTTGGCATCAAACCAATCAGTTTAAAATCCGTTTTCTGCCACTTATCACCAGATGTGCCCCTAGGCAAGTTAGCTCATCACTGTGTGCCCTCTCTTTCCTCATTTATACAATGGGACATCACCCCCAGCCTACCATGAATCATGGTGACCAGAGTTTTAATCTACTCAGGAAAGTTTCCTATTTCTTTGATTTTGGTTCTTTTGAGGGAGCCCTCCTAATGGGCTGCCAATCATTGTGCTTCCACCCCATCAGCAGGCATAGGCAGTTGATGCAAGATAGACTGATTAGGGACCTCAATTTTCTGCTGAGTCGTGAGAATGAAGGTTTTTCCCATCATGGTTGTTAAGCTAAGAAGATATGACTAGCTTCCTTCTGGATAGAGAGAGCTTACTTGCAAAGTGAAGCCAGGTGGAGAGAAACAGAGCCAAGAGATGAAGGGAAAGAGCCCTGATTACACACCGAGCATCTGGATCCAGCCAGACCTGAAAGCATGATACTTAGACGTTACTTTAATTGAACCAATACATGTACTTCTAGCTTAAACTTGCTTGAGTTTTGCTTCCGTCAGTTCCATGGCACCTAGAGTAACATACTGCTTCCTAGGATTGTTGTAAAAATCAAGCAAGATAATATCCATGAAGCTCTTGGCATGGTGGCTGGCACGTGGCAAGTGTCAGCTCATCTTATAATGGATATTGCATGCCAGACTCTGTGCAGGGTTCTAGAGCAGCAGAGGTGAACAAAACACGGTACGTGTCTTTGAGAATCTCACACTCTAGTGAAGGACACAGACAAGTCAACAGGCAAAACTATAAAACATGATTTGGTATTGAGTCCCCTAGCAATATCAAATAACTGTCTGGAGGAAGTTGTGGGGTAGGTAGGTTGAGGAAAGCTTTCTAGATGACGGGAGGCTAAAAGGCAACTTAAGTGAATATTCTTAGTGGACCACGTGGGTATAGCAAATATCATGTGGGCATCACCCCTGACCTCTCAGCTGCCACAGTGGTCACCTCCAGCTTTAATGGATCGTTCATGGACATACAAGCATTCCCCAGGCATAGGAGTGTGCTCAGCCCATGCAGAGGGTAGGCTGGAAATGTCAGGGACCTAACACCGTCACAGCAGTTCTCAACCTGTGCATCGCGAACCACAGGAACTATACTAAAGGGTTGTGGCATTAGGAAGGTTGAGAACCACTCCTCTAGACGGATTAGGATCCATAATATATTGAGAAAACCTAAAGTCAGGAAAAAAAAGATGAGCATCCTAATAGAAAAGCAGGCAAGGCTCAGCGCCTGTGGCTCAAGTGGCTAAGGCGCCAGCCACATACACCTAAGGTGGCAGGTTCGAATCCAGCCTAGGCCCGCTAAACAACAATGACAGCTACAACCAAAAAATAGCCGGGTGTTGTGGTGGGCGCCTGTGGTCCGAGCTCCTTGGGAGGCAGAGGCAGGAGACTCACTTGAGCCAAGGAGGTTGCTGTGAGCTATGATGCCATGGCACTGTACCCAGGGGGACAGCTTGAGGCTCTGTCCCCCCCCCAAAAAAAAGAAAGAAAAGAAAAGCAGGCAAAAGACTTGAACAGGTATTTCACAGAAAAGATGAAGGTAGGAAAAACTCCTCTACAGACTTTCAAGTCTTCAAACTCGGCCTCATAAAAATTAAAGTGTTTTGTTGCTGTTTTTGGCCAGGGCCAGGTTTGAACCCCCCACCTCCAGTACATGGGGCCAGCACCCTACTCCTTGAGCCACAGGAACCATCCAATATTTTGTTTGGTTAAGGACTTTATAGACAGAGCTAGTAGAAGGTGGAAGAAACTGAAAGACAGAAAGAATCTTTTCAATGACTGGAATAATAACAATCTCTATAGTGACTACGTACGTAAGACACTCATGGCAAATTAACAAG